AACAACTATATAACTGCTTTGGAAGCAATTCTGACAAGGTTCATTTGACTCATTCCTGGGATGAACAGCTTATTTAATTTATAAAGTTTGAACAGGTTGGGGTATACCTTTTGGAGCTTCAAAAAACAAGAGGTGATCTTATTGAAACATATTAGATCCTAAGGGAAATAACAAGGTGGGTTCTGAGAGGATGTTTCCCCTTGTATGGGAGAGGAGAACTCAGGGACACAGTTTAAGAGCAAGGTCTTGCTTTCAAGACAGAAGTGAAGAGATTTTTTTTTCCTTTCACAGTCATCAATTTGTGGAACTCCTCCCCAGAAGACAGTGGAGGCTGAGTTGTTGAATTTATCCAAGGCTGAGTTTGACAGATTTTGAGACAAGGGTGATGGGGAGACGGAAATGGTAGATGAGGTACTGGAATTGAGACCACAACCAAATCAGCCTCATCTTATTGAATGGGAGAGCAGGCTTTAAGAGCTGAATGGTGTTCTCCTGCTCCTTAGTTCCCATGAGATACCAAACATGGTCGTTCTTTAAAATGCCATGGGATTTCTTCAAACTGAAAGGAAAATTTTCTGACAGTAGCACTCCCTCAATACTGCACTAAGACTACACACTCAAGACTCTGGGCTGAGATGTTAACCCACAATCTTGACTCAGAAACGAGAGTGCTATGGCTGACAGCTGCACTGCTGCTAGTGATTAGAAGCAAATTTTAACATCAACATTTATGTAAGGCTAACATTTAATAAATAAAATTAATTCCAGCCTGATAGTACTACATTTGAAAATGCAATCATCCATGGAATTAGTATGTAGTCATCTCTCAGCTGTACCACAATAACAGTGAAACAAAATCCATATAAATTATTTCAAGACCGCCATTAACATGCAGCCTGAAGTGCTAGTACATTCTTCCTGAAGCCACATTGCAATCAAGAAACACAGGTAACTTCATGAGAACACACACTCATAAAATGTTTGAGCTTGTACAACTAAATATTCAATGGCCTTCTAAAATATATGAATGCATGGCTATATGTAAAGTAGTTTCAGAAAACACATTCTTACAAACAAATATAACAAAAAAAAACTTTAAATAATAAAAAAGTAACAAAAGACCTAGGTTGTAATACTTAGCAGGTTTCATGTTAGATGGCAGAAGTCTATATTTTTCATAGCACAAATTGTCATCAAAATAGCTACATTTTCAGAAGTATAACTCTTTTTCATGACTGAAGTGATGACAGCACACAATCAACAGATTGAACACATTAATCCCAAAGGAGATTAATGCCAAGCGCAAATGCATAAAGTACAACAGAATGGTTACAGGCACAGAAGGAGGCCATTCCAGCTGTGCAGGCTCTCTGCAATAACAATTCAGCTGGTCTTATTCCCTCAGTAGTTTCATAGTAGCTCTGCATTTTATTCCATTTCAGGTGATTATCCAGTTCCCTTTGAAAGTCATGACTTTCATGGGCCTCCTCCATCCATTGAGACAATGCAACCCAGATCATTACCACATGCTACCACATTACCACATGATTTTATTTCCTTCATGTCACCTTAGGTTCTGTTACCAGTCACTAAATCTGTGACCTTAAGTTAGTGATCATTTTGTCGATGGGAACAGTTTATCTCTCATTACGCTGCCTAGACCCCTGAATTTTGAGTACCCCTAATGAATCACCACACAACCTTCCCTGCTCGAAAGAGCACAACCCCAGCATTCCCAATTTATCCACATGATTGAATTTCCTCACCCTGGAATATGTTGAGAAACGTTTTACTGAATCCTCTTCACAGTGTTCATATTCTTCCTTAAGTGTGGTGTCCTGAATTGGTGAGAATATTCCAGTTAGTTCTGATCCAGTGTTTTACACAGGTTTGTCAGAACTTTCTTCCTTTTGTTCCGAATACCTAAATATTTATGTAGGTCAGAGTATTAGATGATAACTCACAGGAATAAATGATTGATTTTAATCTTTCTGGAGTGAATTATCACATTGGCAGATAATGACATAACATTCACTAAGGAAACAAAGAAGCAGAGAAAACAGGAACAGGAGTAGGCCATTCAGCCTTTTCAGCCTGCTCTGCCATTCAATATGGCCACGATCGATAATCCAAGTCAGTCCCCTATTCCTGCTTTCTCCCCATACCCTTTGATCCAATAGCCCGAAGAACTATATCTAACTCCTTCTTGCAAACATTCAATGTTTTGGCTTTAACAGCTTTCTGTGGCAGATAATTCCACAGGCTCACCACTTTTTGTACGACGGTATTTCTTCTCATCTCAGTCCTAAATACCCTATTCCATATCCTTAGACTGCGATCCCTGGTTCTGGACTCCCAGTTGTCAGGTAAATCCTTCCTGTGTTTAACCTGTTAGAAATGTATACGTTTCTAGGTGATTCTTTGCAGCAAACCACCCCCTCTGTGCCCCCCTACCACCGTTCTTCTACATATGGTCCTAACCAAAACTGCAACTTGATTTTCTGTTTCTGTGCAGGTTCATGTCTTAGCAACATCCCATGAATGATACGAACAAGGAAAGAATCTATTTTAAGAAGAAGAAAAAATGTCCACATCACAACAAATTTGAATTAAAAAGGGGGTTTGATTAAACAAATACCCCTTAGAAGAAGTTGCTGTCAGTGGTGTGTGTACATGGGCATGTGTTGCAATCCACGATCAGAAACGAACAAAAAATAAAGAGCTAGAAACAAGGCTGCAGTCCACCTTCAATAGACAGAAACTACTCTATACTGGTCCCTGAAATATACTTCATATTCCACCCAAGAACTGGCCTTAATGAGCTGGGAAGGTCAAGTTAGGTCACAAGCATAGAATAGTTTCCACATCCCTCTGGTGATTCTAAATATTATGTCCATGCCAGTGTTTTTTTACAAAATAGAAATGCAGTTTTCTTTTACATGGGGGGTTTCCATGGTGGCAAACCAGCGGTACAACAAGATTCACACATGGAATAGGGGCAATACCATCCAAACTGCCCCTATGATGAAATATCATTCAGCGGTCGCGAATGGACCTAAAAGTAGTTTCATGTGCTCCCATATTAAATGAATGTTGTTATGTTTTCTTACCCAACAACATTTAAACTTATATATTTTCTGGACAGAGACATATGTTGTACAAGAGACCAACACCCTGAAGTGTTAATGCTCACTGCAGTCTGCATCGAACAAAAAAACCTCCGCAGATTACACCAAGGCCAGGAGGATTTCATACAAACTCAATACCAGTGTGTACTGCCCACTTATCATCTGATCGTCTGCATGTCCCTCTAATTTGCATACCCACCATCCCCAAAAGCAATGCAAATTTCATGCTTTCACCTCTTGCATTGCAAAAACAGAAACGTGCGTAAAACACTCAGCTCTCTCCATCGGAGTTTCCGGAGACCTGTGCCCTCTAACGTCAGATACAGAAACTGTAATGTGCTAAAATGTTATGTGAATATAAACGTAACAGACGGGCTTTTCTTGTTCAGCGATTCAGCCTCTGCTCATGCCAATCTTTCCTGACCAATTCTGCTTACACAAAGCACTGCGTATTTCCAAATGGCCAAAACATACTCACGGAGGGAAAATAAATCTATCAGCCGAAGCAATGCACAATATTAGCATGAAATTCAACGCATCTTCAGCGGTATTAAAACGCTGCGCTTTCATATTTGTCCAACAGGAACAAATGATATCGTAAGGGAAGTAATAAAACCTCAGTTAACAGTCCACCGCGGTAATATCAATGTAACCCCCTCGACAAAATAAACACAAACATGCTTATGTTCGCATTACAACCAGATGAAGTGACTACTATACAGTGAATCGGATTTCCCTGCAGGAATTGCCAACTCGATTCAATACTGTGTTTTTAATTTTTGTTTTGAAGGGCATTGATATGAAACAAAAAGACCTCGCTTTAAAAAAAGAGAATAAGACAAGAACCCAGTGTAGTTCAGATAGTCCTGATGTGACGGGCACTGAAGAGACGAACGTGATGTACAGATAGTTTAATGCAACAAAAAGCTCCTCTCGGTCTCAGGCGTATTGCAGCTCGTTGATGGGGTGGTTTTGCATTTTTTTAAAAATGAAATGCAATTAGAGAAAATTTCTTAGAAATCAGTGGCACGAAGGTTACACCAATGAATATCCCCACCCCCAACTTCTAATGCAAACCGACCGTTTAATAAGATGGTTAACCGGGAGCTTAGAGCGATTGAGAGATGCCAAGTGTGAAGCGAGGCTCCCATACGCTGTACCCTCTCGCAAACAAAATACACAGTCATTTAGCACCCTTTAGGCTGCCCAGTAAATCGATAATCTGCACATCGCTAATACAAACTGGGTCTGGACAGTCTACACACAGAAATACATATTAAACATAAACGCAAAGAGACGCGTTATTTCTGACAGATCCAGTATCACTGGTCGGATGTAATATGTCAGGGTCTTTTCCACTGCATTAAATCCCTGTGTCACCGCACAGTCCCGAAAGAAAAGGTTCTTTAGGCTGAGAAATCAGTACGTGATGTCAATGCACAACATCTCAATTTAAATAACAGCACACCTCCAGCCTCTTCGCCATCCAACACCACCACCACCAACCCACCCAGCCCCTCCACCACAAAAGAGAAAAAAAGGTCAAAATGGAGTGAGGGGTGAAAATGTACAGCATGGATTGTGTCTTTTCACTAAAACCTGCCATTGCTGTATATGCCAGCCCCTTCTACTGTTCGCACTCAATCCATTAACTCCGAGCTCCCGCAGTAAAACATTTACATCTCACCAGGAAATCCCTCAGCCCTTCTCAACAAGTCATGAAAAAAAGTGCTTTTTTTTGCCTTTCCCTTTTCCGTCCCTCTCCTGATTGTAAAATCAGTTTATTTTCTTATTTTCCCCTGTTTTCCAATCGTTCCTCTCCAGCAAACGTAAAAGAGAAAGCCCCAGCACATTTCTATGTGTGTGCATTACCTTCTCTGGCTTTTAACAAGACCGTGTTAGCGACTATATTCTCCAGCTCCATTGACTTGGGGAGAAATGCGGCTCAGGAAATGCTCTCCTCTTCTCCCTCTGCTGCTACTGTCAAACCTTGCTGTCTCTGCTTTCTCAGGCTGCCGGCTGAGCCAGGCTGCCTGCCACTTCTCCCGATTCCCTTTCGCCTTGTCCTCCCCCGCTGTGTTGGATACAGCCAGGGCACCGGGACATCACACACACACACTGCGAGCGACTGGCAGCCGATCTCCCCCCCATGCTCTGGGCTCCTCCAGGGGGCGGGGGGCTGGGGAAAGGGAGCGGAGGCTGCCATGAACCCTCCCGGCCTGCAGGGGGCTCCCAATCCACCCGCCCGCCACACCCCAGCGCCAGCCACTGCGCAGCCGCGGCTTCCGCCGGCATTCTGGGAGTTATAGTCCCATTGTCTGGGCCACTTTAGTTCTCATCAATGCAGTGCTTTGAATGATGGGATGGGAGAAAGAGGTCTAACCATCAAGTGAGGCGCCAAGCATGCTGTTCAAATAATCAGCCACTTTTACTCCCAAAAGGTTTGCAACTATCTGGATGTTAAATTTCACAATTTGTCCCAGTTATAGTACCTTTCTTTCAGAAGGCACAAATCACAAGCTTTCGAATGCTGTTCCTTCATCAGGTGAAGTGGTCAGCGTGCACAATCGTCTTGGAGGTCCTCTCCATTCTGACCCGGCACTTTGTGGTGTCGATGATAGCCATTATGTGGAGATGCCAGTGTTGGACTGGGATGGACAAAGTAACATGAAACCAGGTTATAGTCCACATCACATGACGAAGGAGCAGCACTTCCAAAGCTTGTGATTTGAAACAAACCTGCTGGACTTCAAACAAACCTGTTGGACTATAACCTGGTGTCCACCCCAGTCCAACACTGGCATCTCCACATTACTAAGAACTTTTCAATATTCTCTAAGGTAAGGCTGGTTGAGTGCGTTCAAAATGATTGTGCTTAACCACAGAGGGGAGAAAAATCAGGGAAAAAATGTAACACTAGGAACTTAACCTGCTGGTTGTACTGGAGCACTGTTCTCAGCCTAAAGAACCTTTTGGGACTGTGCGGTGACAAAACAAGTCAGAATTGTATGCATCATTTGCAAGTTTCACTGGTTTTTCCTTCTGGGTTTAAGCACACACAAACCCTAAAGAGCATTTTGATACAACAGAAATATCATCCAAAAGCAATTTAGGGAGCAGGGAAAGTTGAATCTTCTGTCACTTAAACTTAATTCATGCAGTTTGAATTATAAAAACAACCTCATCTGATGTAAAAATTCAAACACATACAGAATGGAAACTTTTTAACTTCATCTGTTTCATCAATTTCCATTTAGAAGAGAACCAATAGGCCAGTCGCTTTTTAGCTGTTTGTGTTTAATTTGGCTAATGGTAGCTGAAATTCTGCACATTCACACTTGTTTACATAGATCTGTCTTTCCTGTTGAAAGTGTGATGCAGAAAAACTTGAGCCTGCATGCACCTGAGAGCACCTGAATTCATTTGGATTGAATGAAAGTTTTCGGCAATCTGAGGATCCAAAACTTCCCTCATGAACATTTCCCACACAACTTCAGTCATTTTCTCAGAAATTTCTCCATGCCATTTCCACTCTTGAGTGGAAGTGTTTCCTGTACTTCCTCATCCTTGTCTTCTTTCCCAGTGACCTAGTGTGTAATCTTGTCATTTAATGGAGTTCGCTGCCCCAATGGTAATGTTCTGGGAACCTGCGTTCAAATCCTGCAGGTATAGCTATAATATTTCTTGTATGCTTTGGAGGGCCAATGCTCACTTTCTTGCTCTTTTCCTTTTTAATGTACCTGTAGAAGGTCTTGGCTATCTATTTTTGCATTTGTAGCTACCTTTCTTTCTTACACTAATTTCTTCTTCTCAGTTAATCTTTTAGACATTCTCTGCTGTTCTGTTTATTCTGACCAAACAGCTGACTTGCCACTCACCTTTGTGCAATTATATGCTTTTTCCTTAAATGTGAGGCTTTCCCTAACTTCTTTATTTAACAACAAGGGTCCTCCCTTCAGAATTTTTCTTCAAAGTAGGAACATACTTAATCTGAATGTTATGAAATTTCCCCTTAAACATCTATCACTGTGTCTTCATTATCTCTCCACTAACCTATAATGCCAATTCACTTAAGCCAGCATAGCTTTCATGTCCATATAGTTGGACTTATTTAAGTTTACTAGTCTTATACTCAATATTCTTCCTGAGAAACTGGTTGAAAAATGAAATCATATTGCTGCCAATGCTACTTAGTGGTGCCGTTACTCTGAGATTATGAATGACATGCTACACAATACCAATTTTAGTATAACTTGGTCTCTGGTCAGTTCCAAAACATGTTACTCTAAGAAACTATCTCAAAAACATACTTTAAAAGCTTGGTCAGTAGTGGTACTCCCAAGTCACACTTAATGATGAATATTGAAGTCCTCCAACAACATTACAATTTATTTACTTGCCATGCCTAGTGTTTCTTTTAGTAAGTCTTCAATATGAGGGGAACTGACCATCTGAGTTATCAAACTGATGGAGGGATTTGTCAGCAAAAGGTTTCTCTTGTCCATGTTTGACCTCATGTCATGAGGCTTCATTGGGTCTGGAATCAATCTTGAAGACTCTCTGGGCAGTTCCCCACAAACTGTATACCACTATGCTGCCAACTCTGGTCGGTCCATCCCATTTAACATGGACATGGACATGGTAGTTAGTAACACATTATTTATTGAGTATGACTATGACTATGCTAGGCTATTGCTTAACTTGTTCCCAAGTTTTGGCATGAGTCAATGTTAGTAAGGACTTATTAAGAATCGGACCTGCTGTTGTTGTTTCTGTTGCCTGTGACCAATGACTTGTGGTACACTTGATGTTATTCCACTTTGACAGCAGATTGGTACAAGTGAGTGGTTTGATAGATTGCATTTAAGATTCAACTATATAGTTGAGGGTGTGGAGTCAGACATAGGCCAAACCAGGTAAGAATGACAGATTTCCTTCACTAAAAGATATTAGTAAACCAAATGAGTTTTTCCAATAATTAGCAGGAACTAGCTTATAATTCCAGATCTTTACCAAGGATTTTGAACCTGGGCCTTTAGATGATGAATCCAGTGATATTATATCATCTGATAGTAGGAACTGCAGATGCTGGAGAATCTGAGATAACAAGGTGTAGAGCTGGATGAACGCAGCAGGCCAAGCAGC